TAGAGCATCTAACTGTAGCAGGTACAGCAAACGACTACCTTTCATTACTTTCAGTAATTCCAAGTTCCCTACATCCAGCTTTTTGTATGTTTTATTGATCTTTCACAATCCCAGTGACCTCTAATTAACTAGATTTACATGTGCATGATTATTTGTTTGTCGTTTTCTCCAAATAAAACAACGGTCGCCCCTGGGTACGAAAATTCGTTTTTATTCCACATTAGTAGTTGCTTCAAGTGCGTCAATGCAACAGCCACGCTCTTATCATTTCGAGAACGTCTTATCGTGTAACAGCATACAGTGAAGGGCTCGACGGTGGCGAATGGCAAGAAGCACGTCATACAAATACACACAAACACACACACATACACACCTGTCCTTGAACTCTTGCGCGGCCTTTCTCAGTATCGGCTTCATTACAGCTGCTTTGAAGCCTGGATATGTCTGTATGTACTCAGCAACCTCCAGCTGCCAATACAAGTGAGAACCAGAATGCGTCACTTACTTCTTGAAGGGGCCCTGAAATGATTGTATACACAAATTCGCTGAGCGTCGTGACAGCTTTGAAAACACACACAAAAAAACATAAAAATCCGTTACTTGTGTATCTATCTTTTATGCGGTATCTACGCGCTCAAACGACATGTTTTTGTGTGCTGGGTGCCAGGGCACAGTGAGATCGCTTGAAACGTGGCAGAAGACCAGCTGTCTGCGTATGACTACGCACCCGCCAATACACCCATGGCCGTCCCTTCACTTGACATGAAACCTTTCTTACGACTAGATCTCAGGGCGTGCTGGCAGAGCCTATGGGATAGGCAAGCAGACAACAAATTCATCTTCATCATCATCATCTTCATCATCAGCCTGACTACGTCCATTGCAGGACAAAGGCCTCTCCCATGTTCCGCCAGTTAACCCAAACATGTTAACAACAAATTACATGTTATTAAACCGATACTTGGAAATCGGCCATCAGTGTCGAGATCACGCTACACACAAGTTACACTTACGAGGCTCCAGAGAGGACCCACACATTCTACACATTCATAGTTTTTGTCCGGCGATGACCAACTCATCTGTGTGAGGTGTGGAGATCCACTTACGGTACTCCGCATCCTGGTTCAGTGTAGTGGTTTAGATTATTTAAGGTAAAAAAAAAACACTTTTCATTGCCCTACCGACAGCAGCTATATTAGTAGACATCCTATCGTGCTCATCGGTAGGGATCCGCTTTCTAAACTTCAGTCACTTTTTACGTTTTTAAAAGATGTGCATAGTTTTCACCCCCATACAACGAGATGATCCGTAGCTCGTCCTTTGTACAGAAGTCGCGGCTGCGGCGCCCCTCACAACCAACCCCACCATTTATTCCAGCGCCACACGTTTCACGTCACCGCCATGATTTTAATGTTTTTGAGTATCAACCCGCCCTCGGGCGCGCAATTTCAGGCCCCTTACAGCCGCGCAACGCTATCATTGTTCGTATCCTGTTCATATCACTTCATTAGCGTACCATTGCTTTTCAGTCATCGTAGTTCATGGCGCTTTTTGGCCCTTGCGCCAATAAACACCATGTCATAATCATCATCATCAGAGGCGCCCCTAAACACTTTTTTAAGTAACCATGAAATGAATTCACTGGAAGAGCTTATTGCCTTACGAACTCGACGCTGCAAAAATTTTAAGAATTGGTGTGGTGCGAGTGCAGCTACAAATATTTTTCGCACGCTGAAATTGCATTTCTCTTCTCTCGTCCCGATGATAGCGCTAGAAGCTAAGCAGGGAGGAATGGCAGGGGCAAAGAAACTACGTCACCTGCGCCTCGTGACCTTGAGCACTTTATTTGTTTTTTTTTTTCGAATGCGCGGCTTCTCAGTGTAATCCCGCGTGCATGGATGGATGGATGGATGGATATGGCTGTACCCTTTAGATCGGGCGGTGGCTAGCGCCACCAAGCCGTAAGACTTAATGAACTCAAAACTATATTTATTCATTTTTTCCTTAAAAAGTGAGTTTGAGGATTCGTATTTTGCAGTGAAGAGTTTAATTTTCACTCGTGCCTTGACTTTAGCCACCAATCAGATAACCTCCTTCTAGTTAAGTCTACTTGCTTAAAGTCTATTTTGTCCTCCCGGTCCCTAAACCCCAGTGCTTTGAAAAACTCTGCGCCATCATCCTGAACTATAGGGTGAAGCCCTTTACAGAACATTATCAAGTGTTCGGCAGTTTCTTCTTCCTCTCCACACGCACTGCATACTGTGTCTACCGCTTCGTATTTGGCCCGATATGTCTTGGTTCGCAGTACTCCCGTCCTGGCCTCAAACAGTAGAGAACTACCCCGAGTATTATCATAGATCCTTTCCTTGGCAATTTCCTGCTTAAAAGTTCGATAGATCTCTAGTGCGGACTTCTTAATCATGCCCATTTTCCACATGTCAGTCTCCGTTTCCTTCACTTTCTTCTTAACCGATAGTTCGACGCGTGGATAAGCCGCGGCCTCCCGCGGCGATCTCTGTAACTACCGAGCGCGCCATATTCAAATCAGCCAATGGCTGATAGATGGCCTTCAACAAGTGATCGTTGAGCTTCGTCCGTCATTTGTCGAGAGAAAAAAAAAGCAATTGTTAGCTGACTTTGATAATTTATCGTGAATTCCAGGCAACGTGCTGCGCTATATTATTTGGCTCGCGTGTTCTCGGGAGGCTCCACAACCGATCGGCAGCATTTTCTCACTATGTTAAAAAGGTGTTGCAGGGACAAGGAAGGTGATTTCATAACCAATGTAAATAGGATAGGATCACAGAAGCCGACACAACCAGAGTGATATAGTGAGAAGCAATAATAGCCCAGAAGGACTCTGCATCCTACCAGTAGCGATAGGGGGAATAATGAAAGCCCTAGAAGGAATGCGAAGAGGTAAAGCCATTGGTGAGAATAAGTCAAAACGCACCTGCTGAAAGATAGCGGAGAAATTGTGTTAGAAAAACTGGCCACCTTAATACGCAAAGTCTCTTGTCGGGAAAAGTACCAGAATCTTGGAAGAATGCCAACATGATCTTAATCTATAAGAAAGGAGAAATTAAGGACAAAATTACTGGCCGATCAGTGTGCTGTACGTTCTCTCCAAGCTATTCACAAAAATATTAGCCTATGGAACTAGGGCGACATCAGAGTTCAATGAACTAAAGGACCAAGCAGGATTTCGTACAGGCTACTCCACAATAGATCATATTCATACTATCAATCAGGGGATGGTGAAATGCGTGGAGTACAACCAACCCCTTTACGTAGCCTTCATATACGAGAAGGCGTTTGCTGTGATGCAGGCACTACAGAATCAGGGCATTGAAGAGCCCTACGTAAACATTCGGGAAGAAATCTACAGCGTATCCACAGCCACCATAGTTTTCCGTAAAGAAATAGACAGAATACCAATAAAGAAATGTGTAAGGTAGGGACACATTATCTCTGCAATGCTGTTTACCGCGTGTGTACAGGTGGTTTTCAGGGCTCTAGATTGGGAAGAGTTAGGGGTAAGAGGTAATAGACAGTATCATTGGTAAGCTGCGATTTGCTGATCACATTGCCTTGATGAGTAACTCAAGGGAACCAATTACAGCTAATGATTATGGAACTGGACACGGAAAGCAGAAAAGTGGGTCTGAAAATTACTATGCAACAAACTAAAGTAATGCGCAACAGTGTCCGCAGAAAACAGCACGTTGCGATAGGTGGAAGAGACGTTGGAACTTGTAAAGGAATATGTCTACTTAGGACAGGTCTTAATCGCGGAGCCGAACATGAGAGTGAAACAACTAGAAGAATAAGGATGGGGTGGATCACATTTGACAAGCATTCTCAAATCATGAATGGTAATCTGCCACTAACCCCTCTACGGAGCAGAAACCTGGAGGCTTACAAGGAGACTTCAGCTTGTATTGGGGAGTATGCAGCGAGCGATGGAAAGGAAAATGATAGGTGTAACCTCAAAACACAGGAAGAGAGAAAAATGAGTCAGGGAACAAACCAGAGTTAAGGATCTCATAGTTGAAATCAAGAAGAATAAATGGACATGGGCTGGGGACGCAGCTCGTAGGCATGATAAGTGCTGGCAATTAAGGCTACCTGACTGGATTCCCAGAGAAGGCAAACGCACGGGGGGGAGACAGAAAGTTAGGGGGACCGATGAAATTAAAGAGTTCGCAGGTATAGCGTGGCAGCAGAAAGCAATATACCAGGTCGTTGATTGACGCATCATAGGCAGTGGCGTAGCCGAAGGGGGGGTGCAACCCCCCTCCCCCTCCACTTGCCCACTTTTCAGCGTCGCTTCGCCCTGACATGATTTAGAAACTAAGCGGTGCTGCTATGACACATTATCATTCCTGGGTGCTTTTACAGAGAATAATGTCTTCACAGTGTTCATGGGAGAGGCCTTTATCCTGCAGTGCATGGGTGTAGTCAGGCTGCTGCTCCTGCTGATGATGATGATGCCTACGTCGAGATAACGCGCGCGTCAGCGATCACGGTCGTGCCCTTAAAATCAAGTTTCACACGTTGCTGCTCAGTTGATTTCTCTCCCCTCCCGTTTTTTATGCTATAGTTTCTTCTCTGCTTCAGTAGCCTCTCGTTTGACCTTTGCTGCAGCTGCGTCCATCGCCCCCGCTGAGGAGGTTATACCGGTGGTTAGAAGTTGGAACATATGATGTACGGTGGGAGTTTATCAGTTTGACCTCTATACGGAAAGCATTATGGTGATGGTGACGGTGAAAACCTGTTGATACTGTTCATATATAATTAATTTCACAATAATAACAACGGTACAGTAATATTGAAGGCTTTGCGAAAAGCTTTCTAACTAAACATCGTTGAATTGAGCAGCACAGAACATGAATGGTGATCCATAAAACAATAACAACAAACAAACATGCTTCGTTTAGCTCTGATTCTCATAAGATTCGCCTCGCAGGGCATCTAATATAGTGAGGAAGCCACCCGCGGACATTTTATAAAACACCCATTTAATTTTCCTTTCTCATTCTTGTTTGGCAAACGCTAATTCCCACACCCGCCTAGCGCACTTGCTGCTATGTGTTGAAACTCGTTGTCCAGAAATGTTCGTGCGGTCTCGTCGCCCTTAAGCTCCGGCCATTTGATTTCCGGCTTTCCGGTGTACTGTGGCACGCTCGGAAGCGACAGCAGTTGCCGCTCGAACTTGCGGACGAAGTAGATCCACGCGTTTCGCCTGTCTCCGGCCTCCGTCGGTGGTGTTGGTGGTGTACCTTCCACGTACACCCCGTCGGGGACTTCGGCTGCGACAGCATGAGAATGTCTTCCTGCGACCGGACGTAGTAGTCGGGGTGCGACTCGAGCCGGTCGAGGACCTCCAACATTCGGTCGTCCACTTGGTAAACCTCGCCACGCACCTCCTGCATCGCGTAAGATAGAGAGGATATCGGACACACCGCACTGAACATGTCTACTCGATCGCACAAATAAATAAATAAATAAATAAACAAATGAGGGAAACGCGAGGAAGCCTGAAAGCAACACAGTATTTGGGTTTTAACTCGTTGGTCTCTCTTTCATAACGGCTGTTTTATTTTGCAGTATGGAACGTACTGCGTCAATTGTTTCCCTTATCATACCATGGCTGGACTTTGATTGAGTGATTCTAGAAAGGGGCGAAGCAGATACCTAATTTCTGTCTGCCTCTTGGGCGACACGGCGCAGTGCCTTGTAGGGGACTGGGAATGAAAGAGGATGGGGTGATAGAGGTGTGTACTGTATATGTGTAGAAAGTCGGGGAGGCACTGCGCCGTGCTCCCTACCGGGTTGCAAAAATTAGGTGCCTTTTCTCATCTTCTAACCGCTACCACCACCACCAAGTCGGGGCTTAATTGCTTGTCATGGCCGGAGCGGCAAACGGGTGGCAGCAGGGGCACTGCACATGCGCGTGCTTCCTTTTCTCACCCGTAGCGAGGGAGTCTGAGTATGTTTCGCCACGCGTCGGTGGTAGGGGCGCTGCAACCCTCACATTGCTGGCTTTAAACCTTGCATTTCTTGCACCGTGCACACGGCACAAGAGCGTTGCTCGATGTGACACCATGGAATGGGGGTTCTCAACGAAGAGGGGAATTATTCTAGAAATTGAGGGTAAAAGGAGGATTGTCTCCTTTAAACAAAAAAAAAAAGAAATAAAACTAATGTCAGCAGACGTCTCGTCGCAAATTGTAGGTATGCTTGTGCTCGTGGATAACACAAGCTGAACCTCAGTAACAAAAAAAAAAGTGGAAGAATCGGCTAACGAGGCATAATGCTGGAGGCATATAGCACTGGCAACGATCAGAGATAGAGAGATTACCAACGCTACGCCTGTTCTGCAAGCAGAGAGCACCAAATACCTTTGGTCCTTGGTCTCGTTGAACAACATTCTGCAATTAAGAGAGGTCGCTTACAGAAAGTACGAGCTAGCTGTGTTCTATTGATTTTTCATATAAATTTGGAGTGGTTTTTGGGGCTAAAAGCTGCGGTCGGCAGCTTGACAGCTCCTTGAAATACGTACGTAAGTTGTATATTTAATGGTTAAAAATAACTGCGTATAGGGCCTGACAAAGAAAGTAAAAAAAAAAGAAAAGATCTACTCTTGCTGCCGAATAACGATATCGAATGGCTCGCCCTGAGTGTGGTAATGTACGTTGTCATGGCGTTAACACCACCTGGAAATTTAACATTAATTGCGGGGACCCCAAGCTCGTCTGCGTTACTTTTTGCTGCAAGCGACATCCACGAAAAATGCGAAGAACGCAGCTGCTTACGCTCGAAAACTGCTTGCTCTGGAACTAAAACTCTCTAGTGCAAATCAGTTCTGCTCTCTTATTCGAGTTCGTGGAAGAACATGTTCAGAAAGAAAAATCCACGACATTTCAACTTTTCGGCAAGTAAGCAGCTTTTTTTCCCAAGAAATCTGCATGAATTGTCTTGTGGCCTAGTGCGACAAGCAGGTTGTTGTCTATTTCTCTTTCTCTCAAGCGTGGCTCTCTTTATTCTGGGATTTCTCCAACGCGCGGCTGCATTTTGTTCGATGCTTTCTCAGTGTTCAGTCTGCAGTAATTTATCGACTCGAGAAGGCGGTCGTGCATCCCTCAGTACGCGCTGTACGTGCATGGGTATTTAATAGTTGTGTGATAGCGTGTTGCTGTGTTCCGTACTGCAAGTACCGTTCGGGGAAAACACTTGGTGTTTCTTTTCACTAATTCCCAAGCAGTGCTGAGCTGTGCGCTAAATGGCAAAAGAATATCTTGAGAGACAACCTCATCGTCAACGACAAGTGTGCATCAACTGTCGTATGCAAAAGACGCTTCCGCCATGAAAGGTGTGTGCCAGCGTGCCGCATGAGAAAACTCTTTCCCGTGTCAGCGCCTACTCTCGTCGAGGGCTATTTATTCTTCTTTGTTTTTCACTTGTTTTGCAACGCGTGGTGAGTGAAAAAGCTCACCCGAAATCATGTACCGGCGTTGCGTGTGCTGCACGGAGGAGGGTCAGGGTCGCAGTGCCCCCCTCAAAGCAGCGGCGAGAGGCATGGCACCCGGTGCGAAGGCCGTAAGAAGCGAGCGTTCAGGTGCAGTCTAGGCTGGCCATGATCGTACGTGGCGAAGTAGTGCCGCAATTCCCGTGAAGTATACACCATTTTACAAACGCGCTCAAGCGCCGCCATCTTGGACTGATAACAGTGCGGTTAAGTATTCGTATCAAATAAACAAACAGTGCTATGGTGAACTCGCACGCAAGAAACTGCTTTGC